GAAGCCATGAATCCGACTCAAATCGCCACAAGGGGGAGCTACTCGATTGCTTGCTTGCTCTGTGGTGCTTTGCTCAAATGAGCGTTCTTACCCTGAAGTATGATACTGAATTTCAGTGGAACAACCTCTTCCTTGTATGGGACATTCCATACACTCATTTCCAGCTCCATCTAGACTCACAGACTAACTTGCGGGGAAAAATGACCTCACTTGATTCACTGCGATGCCTCTCTTCGATAAAGGTTATTCTGCCCAGTATACTGGGTTTTCCCCTTACTGATGAGCACAGAGCAGGGGCTATGCTTTTGCTCGGCTTCCATATAAGGGCACAAGCGGAACAGAACCTGAACTGCTTCTTGCTTCGACCCCCTCGATACAGTCACGCTCGCTGCGGATACTGGGGAGTGTCAGGGGGCAGCCTTGGTGCGGTGCCACCTCGATTCCCATCAATGGTTGGAACGACCCGAGCGACAATGATTGGCTTAACGTAATTGTATAATGCTTTTGATATGGCTGACATGAGAAGCTGGCACCTAATGAGAACTCAACAATTCCGAAAGGGTTTGCTGTGTAATCCTTGCACAATCATTGCTCCTTTGCACGCACAGAATGGATTCGCCTGAGTAGTAATGGGAAACGAAAGCTGGCACCTAACTGAGAAAAGACGCAGAAGTCAATGGCTTCCAGAAGAAGACTTGCTCCTCAAGAAGTGTAGAGGTGTTCATGAAAGTGATGAGTCTCCCGTGGCGACCACTTGTGACGGAGCGTTCAGCCGTGAATTCCTGAAAACTGGCTGAAACATGATTGAGATGCAACCCTTTCGAACCACCTAATATTGCAAAGTATCCATCTTGTTAACAAGGACATTCTGCCAGATGTGTAAGCCTATGATCTCCATTGATTCCAAATTATGTAGCGTGAGCATTTGCGGATAAGGTGATTGAGCAAGCTTCAAGGCGGACTACATACATTTTTGCATAACGGACAGTGAGCACTGCACTGGACAAGCACCACACATTGTGTTACTCCCCAAAGAACAGAACAGTAAGCATGCAGTAAGAAGCGTCGCTCTGTGAACAGTATGATCCTTCATACGTACAAGTGCAGAAGGGAGGTTCCGAACCCCAACAACAATTAAAGATCAGCCGATCAGACCTGGTCTTCAATCTCTTAGCCGTGTTTGCCGATAGATTGGAGACCAGATCGAACACTTCATGCAATTTTACGATAAAAGTTGCACCACATCGGTAATCGCTCGGCTCCGTGAGGACTTCAAATGAATACATCGACAATCACTGGATCAATGGTCCGAATTTGTTGCAAGAGCTCTCTACGAAAAATGAGTCGGAGCACCGAGACATCTACTCGACTACTAATGTAAAAAGGAAAGACGTTCTAAGCGGAATTTCAGACTGAAGAACGACGATAAATGGGACGATAAACATCTTCAGGAGACAAGTGAAGCGAGCAACAAAAAATGCAAAATTCGATAGAAACTTCCAAGGATAGGCTTTACACGAGCACAATAAATCATGAAAACAATCCTCTTTCTCAAACGCGCCACACTCACTACACTAGTTATGGCTGAGGACAGTCGGGGCGTGTCAGCGCCGTGTGGGTTATGACAGGGTGACAACCCCTTCTCCACCACTCATAGAGCGGTCTATCGATCGATAGAAAACGGGCTGGCTCCGCGCTGAAATCCTCGCACCGCTGACACTCCCCTACAACCTTTGGTGATAATGGCTGCAAGTTCGTAGAAACCATGCTTAAATGCATAAGGCGCGACAATTTGGTTGTCGGTCTAAATTTCTGAAATATGCGGCTAGAACACTTCGTATGGAAACCTCATCTGCCATCATGCTAACATTTCGTTTCATTAAATATGGCTGGACCCCACCACAACCGAATTGAACACCAGATTTGAAGCAATGAATGTATCGGTATCAGTGTGCTTGATACTGAAAGGAGGATCATGATGTAAAAGAGGTAAGTTCTTTCTTCGTTACTTTGTATGACCACATAACCTGGTCAATTTATCATCCCTTTTATGTCTTCAAAATTCCACAAAAAAGAGCCCAGAAAGACCAATCTCCACCGAAATTTTGTATTCGGCAAAAATGTGTACAACTGGGAGCGTCATAGGCAACTCCGATAACCACAATAACCATCACTATCAGCTTATCTAGGGTGAAGTGCAAACAAGGCATCAAAAAAACAAGTGCTGTTGTTTAAAGGACTTGGTGCCATAGATCTTTCAACCGGCGATCTTATTCCAGTAGAATGGCTTCTTCTTTCCGACTGCGCATGTGGAAAAGTCGCGCGCAGTCGAAAAGAAAAAAGTCCTGTAATTATAAGCTGAATCTGGGGAAGGCAATCCTCCTGGAGAAGGGACTAGCTCCATTATCTCCATTCCCTCCATTCTCGCTCAAAGGAACGAACATATCTCAATGCTCGAGCCATGCGAACCTGGTTCGGGAACTACGGTGAAGGACTGGGCACCGAGTTACGCAGGAGCGGCTGACGGACCATTCAGGAATATCGAGGGCGGCGACGACCAAAAATACGCGGCTCCGCGCCCACCTCCTCACGATGATCTTCGCGGTCCTTCCTGCCCTAACTAACGCCCCGGAGACTAGGACTCTGAAAATTTCTCTTTACATGCATGTGATGGAGGGAATTTGGAGCTTCGCAGTCCGTTCCCGATCGAAGATCAGGGAAACCACTGCAACTGCAAGAGTTTCAAAGATCAGGTGGGCCAGGCATGTCATGCGTCTCGAAGGTGATTGCTGGTCCAGAGCGATTAGAGACTCCCATGGGATGTCAAACGAACACCAAGGACGACCACCCAAGCGATGGTGGGACTTTCAAGGGAAGCTCTGAACGATGCCCTTCGATGCAGAGATGGATGGGAACGTTGCAACGCCCTCGATGGTCAGCGGGTGCACAGAAGATACAGATGCCCTAATAACAGGATCGGCACCGTGACAATTCTAGGAATCAGAGAATCGTATGCAAGTAAGAAAAAGATAGAAAAGAGGCTGATCCACTGGAAAATTGCATTCCGCTCCGAAACTCTAGTTTCTACCCAGGATGGAGCTATGAGATATGTCACAAATTAAGAAATTCTAGTCAAAAATAGTTGAACAGGCACTCTAGTCTGGCACGGACCTTACCTATACCCCTACCACTGCTCGAATTTACCAACCAGAAAATGAACTCACAAGAAAGGAACATGAAACTACCAAGGAAAGTATAACAGAAATCGATCAATAGGACTACACGCCATCAGATACGTCAATGAACGGACACCGACATCACTGTGACACCAGAAAAAAGTAGTCAACACAAGGACAAACAAGTGAGAATGTTTACAACCCTCTAAGGCCAGTTCATTCCAGCATGATAATAGCTATTTAGTTATGAAGGGCAGATAATAAGGACAACAACTGCTCCTCCCCTCTTGGAGTTATTTCGAATTCCATGGCTACCCGAGCTAGCAAACCCCTTGCATCCATCTGTGGGGCCTATGACCGCGAAAAATTACTGAAACACCGTAGACTATAACGAAGCTCATGAAATGAATCATCTGTATTCCAACAGCAGAGATGGAGAAGGTGTGGACTCGATGGCCTGCATATTAAAAAGTGATAAAGTTTTCGCCGCTGAAGAATCATTTTCTGGTACGCGGCACGCATTCCATTTACACGCAGAGTCGCCATTGCCTATTGAATGTGATCTGGTCCATAAAATGAATTACATGTGCAACTCGCTGTAGGAGTCAGGGCTTTCATTCTCCAGACAACCGTGCTTCCAGTTCACTAGCTCCAAAGGAATGCTTAGTTGGCTCGAGAGAGAAATCGGAGAAAGGGGCAAGGTAAGTAGACTAATTCCTACTACATTACCTCCCCACGTGCCTGCAGCTGAAATACACTACCCAACTGCAAAGTAGATTAATCTGACTCGTAGTTGTGAGACGAGCGCGCAGAAGGACAATGTTAACTCAAGCAACTCCGCCCATCGTGGACGATACCGCCCCTTGCCTCGGCAGCAGCGGTATCTCAATCTTCGACTTATCGCGGTGAGGTTGGAAGTAAGGAAACTTCTAACGGCAAACGTGCCGCAGACCAGGAAAGCTAGTACTACCCAATCTGATATAGTAAGCCATGCAATCACCACCATCGGTGCCCGTCATCTGTCGCGAAGAAAGTGAGCGTTTCAATGAATTCCCTTACTAATGCCACTCCAAAATCAGAGGTATCGGCCGTTATTTGCCGTAGGTGTCGCTTTTTTGATTGAATTTCCTGTGTCCCATGGCAACAAATGAAAACTTTCTTCGCCACGTGTAAGATATCTGTCCTTGTGGACGGGCTACTCCGGAAAAAAGGATGTCTGAAAAGAGGTGTTCTTTGTCTGGTACCCACTTGACAGCCGTGAAACCTACTCATATACAATTGCGTATCAGAAGTATCAGATGGAATGGAATCACACACAGAGGAAATGTTGTCTCAGGTGATCTTGGAATGTTACGAAGCAAGCTAGGATATCTGAAAAGCTTAGATGACTCGTAGCAAATTCCAGTCTTTCGGTCTTACTCGGGTGGGAATGCGTGCAAATCTTCCGATGAGTCAGGTCACCATCAATCCGCAAGCAGTATATCTCACAGTGGGAACAGAACAGATCTAGTGAAGTTGCTCTAGTCCAGCAGTATCGTGTTACTTTACCTAGTTTCTAAATCACACCCTTTCCACAGATGTACCGCTGCAGACGAATTTCTAGACGTGTACCAGTTGGAAAAGCAAAACTCTTGAAAGACTCTACGGCTCCATCCACGCGAGAGAGTCATTAAACACTTGATGAGTCCTTTGTCTTCCTCATTTATTCTAAAAAAACAGTCTATTCAGAATCGGTGGTTCCCTGTGCTTCACTGTTTAATCTTGATGTAATGAGTAGAATGGCGAAGCTCTTCTCTTCATTGAATCTTTATTATATGACAACGTTTCGGGCATAAGCCCTTCTTCAGGTCACTCGATCTTAAATCAAACAGCTACCCTTACAACGTTACAGCATCAATAAAGTAAACTTAGCAATAACCCACACTATGTAGAATGGGGAAGGAGTACAAACTCCGTCAGGCCTCACTACGTAGCAGTATTGGCAGAAATGAAAG